GATGAAGCCACTGCATCAGATGTGGCTGATTTTCCATTGGCAAGGTCCTCCAAGACGGGTACTGGCGAAGGGCGAGAAGGATACCGGCGTCATTTTGACCCGATTCAGAAGCCAGCCAAGGGCAAAGGCAAGGGCTATGGTCAACAACAGCGACCAATCTTTCAGCAGGCCATTGAGTGCTGGAAGTGCGGTCAGTATGGCCACAAATCCTTTGAGTGCCGCAGTGGATGGAACCGAGGGCAACAGTGGGGTTCGTATGGATCTTACTCAAGCCGCTCGGGAGGGCAGGCCCAATGGCAAAGCTGGAATTGGAATCAGGGCTACTCTGGCAGAGGATGGACTGCTGATCCTTGGGGAAGATCTACAGCATCAAGCTCCTCAGCAGCTCCTCCGGAGCCAGTGCGGCCACCTTCAACAGCGACGCCTGTGCCTGACACAATTCCTGCTGCTGGCGACCCTGCCCAAGCAGCCTCTGGATCAGCTCCTGCAGCAGAACCTCCACAGCAAGTGCCGAGGATGCCGCTCGTGATTGCTGAGGAGTACTGCGAGATCAACGGCCAGCCGCACTTCAAGCGCACCTACAATGATGGGACGGTAGAGTTTGAGTCGTGGTAGATGTTTCACATCTTGGGCCATGATTTTATGCCTACCGGAAGGTTTGGCCGATTGGATGAAAGCTGACCTATGGTCATTCATTTCAATCGAAGTGCACACATTTCCAAACACGAAATTCTAACTTGATTAACTTGAAAACTTTTCCAATTGCTTCAAGAGAAATTGACACCAGCATCCGATCCATGTAGCATGCGTGTATATAGCCGTGTACATAGGCCTGATACAGTAGCTTTCAAGTTTCCAAGGCAGTGAAAGGAGTGGTAATGCTCCTATGCCTTGGCGGAAGCCAGGCCGATGTTGCTATTGCTATATCCAAGCACGTGCAATGCCCGGGATCGCCAAAAACATCCGATTACCTTTTGCCTCATGCACCCAATGAGTATAGACCACAAGCATACGATTCGGTTGAACATAATTAATGCACAGTGATGTCTTACTTGTCGTCCGCTCTCAGGTCATATCTGGCGGACTTCCACTCTCCGCTCTCCGTCAAACTTCGGGGCGGCGGGGGGTGTTGTTTGTACATACCACTGTATATACTCATATGTTCACCCTATATCACCGTGTGCATGGCTCAAGAAACAAGCGCGCTAGTGTTGGTTACTTTTGGCTAGGTGACCTGTAAAACATTCTTACTAGTTTTGCGGCCGGGCTAGTACGAATTGCGAAATCGTCCTTAGTAGCTTTCAACGCATTCTTAGTAGCTTTGCGGCCAAGCCAGTACGAAGCGCGGCACCGTGCTTAGTAGCTTTGGAGCATATTCTTAATAGTTTTGCGGCCAAGCCAATACGAATTGCGAATTTAACGCTGCTTCCGCGTGATGTATGTGGATATGCGCACGCAAACCTGGCCCCGCTCCCCAGGAATCAACGTTGCCACTCACAAAAGCCAGTCGTGCTGCGGTGTAGCTGTTTTGCAGCGCGGAAGTAAGTCAACTTTGATGTCTCGGGGTGCCGGGGGATGCGCCCAGAGTCCTGTACACTGCCGCTAGCTGTGCAAATGTCTTTGCAGTGTTTGTGGCTATCAAGGTTCACCTCACATGCCTTCTGCAGAACAGCACAGGCATCCCTGCACCATCCATTTGAAACGTGCCTTCGGTTTTGTGCTGTGACGCGGGCCCATTTTTGGGGCTGCGGGCCTGTATGCTTTTTCCTTCCCTCAATGTGCACCCTGCATGTAAATATAAATATATATATATACATACATACGCAACTATGTAAAATTTTATCATGTAACTTGACCATTGTATGCCAAAATCATCCATTTAAATTTGATGTTCCATTAAAAACCATCCATTTTGGGGTACCCCCATTTTGGAAAACCTCCATACATTTATAAATAAATAAATTAAATAAATAAATAAATATATATGCGAATAGAGTGTAGGCTACGGACCATTGTATATTATCACATAATTCGACACTCTAGGATCCAGTACCAAAGGGGTACTTCAAACTGGCCTCTTTGGCTCAAGACCCACTGCAGCACCAGAACAAAGAACTGCCATGCGGAAGCTGTTACCCGTGTAACGTCATCATTGGAGCATTCATTGCAAACACAACCACTGGAACATAATCGGGTAAGCAATCCCCGGTTCGCAGGTTATCAGCCGTAGGACTCCTACGGAGCCTACGAGCGGGGAGCCGCGGGCCTTACAGATGACTGAGCAGGATAGCAGCGATAATGCATTTTCTTTCTCTGGACATGCCGTTGCACCAGCTGCCGGCACGCAGTCAAATTCTTCACAGAGTATCGACACTGGTGGAAGCGATGCCTCAGAACTGAGAACAAGCCAACCCAGGCGACATCTGGTTGCTCCTAGAGGGAGACAAATTTCGACAATGCAAGCAATTGAAGATAGGGACAGCACACCTGGAAAGAGAAGATCATCTGCACGACAATTGTCGCCTCCGATGACTCCAAGGACTAAGGCAAAGACTACGTCGTCGAATCCGCCTTCACCGATTCAGGACGCTACTCCATCAGGGACAGGATCTTATCAGCAAGTGAACGCCCCGTCAAGTGGTAGCGACATCTTCACTGCCTATCAGAGTGAGTTAGCAGAATACAAGACATCACTGGAGAGGGCCACTGAAGAAGAATCCGTACTTCAGGCAAGATTGAGCGAGACGACAGCATATGCCTATCAACAATTTAATTTCCTGGAAAGCACCACTCATCAAGAGATGATGTCGATGACCGAACAACTCCAGATGCTGAACTTCGAGTTACAGGCTGCACAACAGGAAGATGAAGGTGCGACCTACAGGATCGAAGAGTTGGAAAGATATCAGACTATGTCGAATGAAGCCGCATCTCATTTGGAATTCAAATATTCACGACTACGTTCGGAATTCGATGAACAAATGGGACAAGCAAACGCAATTATGGTACATGTGGGAACTGACGCGAATGCTCACATCAATCAACTCAGACTGGAACTGGAAAACGCAGAGATGAATGCCAAGCAAGAAGCTCTAGCAGTCGGCTATGCTAATGACCAAACATGTGCTTTGCAGATCGAGATGCTCGAGGTTGCCAATCAGAACCAGACGATGAAGCACACCATGGCCATGAATGTCAGGCGACTGGAAACTGAGTTAGATGCTGCTGACATGAAGAGGGACGAGATCATGAAGGAGTTCCGTAGTAACATAAGATCTGAACATGACCGTTATGCAGAATGTGAACATCACTTAGCTTTGGAAGAATCACAGCTTCGATTGCAGGTGATCCACAGTGAGAACTTACAATCTCGACTAGCGATTTCTGAGAACAGGGTTTCTGAAGAATCTCTAGCTGAATCAGGCGGCATGCGGGACATGAGGATAATGGGACTACGTTCTGAACTACACATGAAACAAAGTCTTTTAGATCGAATGCAACAGCAACTGACTGAATCGAAGAATCAGTATCATGAACTTTCCTGTCAACAAGCCAGAAGATCTTTACCAAGCAGATCACCGCATGGAGGACCTCTATACGAGATGTATATGCAAGCCGTGCGTGAACGTGACAGCTTGAAAGAATCCAAGGCCGAAGTTGACAAGTTGTACTTGCAGAATAGATCTGAACTCATTGACACTGAGGACCTGCTCAAAGTCTTCCAGCGAAACTTTGATGAAACTGGTAAGAAATATCAAGATGCTCTGAACAAGATCGATCACATGAGCAACAATCCGAATGTGACGAGTACCTTGTTTGACAGTTTGCACAATGAACTCAATGACAGGGATACAGCTATTGCTCGCCTTCATACTGAACTTGAAGCCCAAAAGGACTCTCTTGAGCGTGCTCACAGGGATGCAGGTAAGTCCATCAAGATGTTGAACGACAGAAGACTCGTGATCAAAGGTGCGACTGACTATTCCATTCCCGAAAGCCATTTGACCGAGATGCATCAACTGGCCAATGAGCGTTACGCTGAGGTAGAAGAAATGACGAGTACCATTGCAGCCCTGAAATTGGAAAACCAAGCTCATTCTTCTTCATCAAAGAATAGACCGACTACGTTACATGGGTACCCCAGTAATGCTATGCCTCGGAATGAATGTGAAGAGAAGTGTGCTAAACTGAAAGCAGAGTTGGACGAGATGAAGCAAGAGAAGAACAATGAAGTTCGAAATCTTCAAGATGAGTTGAAGAAGATGGAAGATCGGAAAGATTACTACAAGAACAATTTCTCTCAAGCTGAAGATCGTGCCAATGATGAAGAGCAGGAATACCGAGCAGAAGCTGAAGCCTTCGAGAAGCTCAGGAACGAGTACAACACCAATGTCAGGGAGTTGGAGAACCTTGAAAGGGATAGATCCAAGTCATCCATATCTCTAAGAGAAGCCGAAAAGATCAGCCTCCAACCCTGGCCTAAGACCACTGAACTTTCATCCTGGAAGGGAAGTGTCGTTCATGAAGTTTGCGTTGCAAGTGGAGATCGAAACTATGAAGATTGGAAAGCGTGGCTTGCTCCGTGTCTTGCAGATCAACCTGACTTGGAGACGCTGGCCAAAGCTCCTGATGTAAGATTCCAATCCATTGATGCCAAGCTCTCCAATGCCTTGAGGAAAGTCATTGACAATGCTGGGGACAAGTCCATGCAAGTGAAGTATGACATGTCCATGAAGAACCAATTGTATGGGAGAAGTGGGGACTTCATCAAGGGACGAGAACTATTTGCAATGATATTGATTAGCTTCAAGTCACCTGACCACACTGAAGTTCTCTACAATGCCCATCATTTATATATGTTCAACTACTATGGAGACGATCAACTTGAGGCATTCTACAACAAGTGGCTTGACATCGTATACAATATGAAACATGATGATCTGCCTTCCAACAATTCCCTGCGTGACACATTGTTCCGGAAGATTGAACATTCAAAACTTATGGCCTTCGATATCAACCGATACAAAACCTTTGATGAAGGGCATCATGAGAAGACCTATGCTTACCTAACTGGTATGATCAAGGGATACATAGCACGAGGGAAGCAAGAACGACTGTTGAAAGATAGAGAACGTGCAGTGAAACTGTCATTGTCCTCTAACAAGACGACACCTGCCTTAGAAGATGCAGACAAGCCTGCCGCTCCCGTCAAGACCAAGAAGGAGAATGAAGCAGCTGCATCGTCTACAGGTGATCCTCCCAAACGTCCTAAGGCGAAAGCGAAGAGTGAAGCTGCATCGGTACTTCCTACACCTTCTCCGAAATCCCATGCTGACAAGAACAACAAGAAAGGCAAAGGTGGGAAGGGAAGATCATCTTCACCCGTTGACAAGAAGAAGATTTTCTGTAACTACTTCTTCAATAAAGGAGGATGCAACAAAGGTGACAAATGTCTTTACAGTCATTCTCAGAAGGTCTATGATGCCAAGATGAAAGGTAAGAAAGGCAGAAGCGGAAGTCGAGATTCATCAAGAGGGAAAGGTAGAGGAAGTTCATCTTCAGCTGGACCCAAAAAGAAGGTATGTTGGAATTGGCAAGAGGGTACCTGCAAGTTCGGAAGCAAATGTAAATTCCTGCATGCAGATAAATCGCCTTCAGCATCCTCAGAGAGAACCAGCAAGAAGACACCAAAGAAGAAGGCGACTCCCATTACCATTGATTCCTTCTTTGATAGCGACAATGAAGATTCTATGGATTATACCTCACCGAGGATAGCCAGCGCAAAGAAGTCTTCTGATGATCGCAGGATCTCATTTGATCTGGAACCTGAAGTGCACGAGATCGCCATTGAGGACTACCAGGAGGGACTACCCAAACGTATGTATCGTGACCCCAACAAGCAGTATGTCTTCTGGAAAGTCGATGATTTGACCGACGATCAGTCCAAGTCCGACAACACCCTCGGTTCAGTCCGAGCACGGGCAAAGGCTATCATCATGGACAGATGTGGACTCCATCGTTTTGTTGATGAAGTTAGAATCATTATTGGCCCCAAGTTCGACATGTTGATCAAACTGGACAATGGTCGTGATGACTTGATTTTTATTGAAGAGCTTGTTGAGCATGAAGTTGGAAACTCCCTCATGAAGTCCAAGAACATAATGTGCATTTCACTACCAGTGCAAGCCAAAGATCGTAGATTCATCCTGGATTCTGGCAGCGGACACGATCTGATTTCTGCAAGGAAAGCCGAAAGGATGAACTTGAAGCAGCGAACTTGTGATCCTATCATGTTCCACACAGCCAACGGTTCAACTGCTACTCAGACGGAAGCAGAGATTGACCTGGGAACCTTTGACGTGACCTCTCACGCCTATGTACTGGACGACACTCCGTCCGTGATGTCTCTTGGGAAACGATGCATGGAAGAAGGATACTCCTTTGTATGGCCATCTGGTCAAATGCCTTTCATGATTACGAAGAATGGAGAACGCATCGATTTGACAATCCATGACAACATCCCCTATGTTGATCTTGGAACTTACGAATGCACTCCTCATGAATGTCATCATGCATCGAAGATCCATGACCTATTGACACATCCCCAAGTTGGATTCAATGATTTCAACGACATTGATGATGTTGGTCAACCCTCACGAAGAGTACATCTCGATGGAGAAAGTGGTCTTGAGACATCAACTGAGGATCACAACTGTTCCCGATATGTCAAGAAGCTCAAGGTGAAGAAGAAGAGAAGAGCAATGAACCGGCAGAAACATTCGGCAACTCCTGGAGAAGAAGAACAGGAACCTCCTGAGGGCGGCGAGTATGAACCAGGAACTCCGCTTGGCGATCCTCCTGGGGACGAGACTGACCTTGAAGATGACGGTCATGGTGCTCCTGAAGATGCCGCTGAAGGTGATGAAGATGACATCGAGATCGATGTTGTTGAAGGTGAATCTAGGGTTGCCAAAAGAGGAACACTCAAGAGAGAAGCTAACAGCCTAAATCACAAGTTGACCCACAGATACAAGAATCCATATTGCGACTCATGCATTCGAGCAAAGATGAAGCACTTCAAGACTCGTCGTGGTGCATACAAGAGGGAACTCAAGAAGTTTGGCGACCTCATTACCTTTGATGCGGTGGACACATCCAAAGTCCATGATGACGTGTTGGTCCTCGAGAAGGAAGTGTTGGTTGTCAGAGACTGTTATACAGGAATCATTGGTGCTTATCCATCTGATCGAATGACCAAAGATGATGTAGTCAGAGCAGTGAAACAGTTCATCGGCGCCAAGAAGGTCAGACAGGCCTACTCTGATCATGCTCCTCAATTCATTGAAGCTATGAATGAGATGAAGATACCAATTGATCATTCGTTGCCTGGAAGACCTCAAACCAACTCAATTGCCGAAAGGACGAACCAATTTATTCTCACAGCTACTTCTACATGTCTTTTGGAAGCTGGATTACCACCTTGTTTCTGGAGAACAGCAATCCTTTGTGTATGTCATCTACTCAACGTGGAACCCAACGATGATGAATTGAGCGCTTGGTGCAAACTCCATGGATCTGAATTTGCTGGCAAACTCATTCCCTATGGTGCTCGTGTGAACTACAAGCCTCCGAAGACCAGAGAAGCAGGACAACTTCATAAGTTCGGGCCTGACTCTATTCCTGGAGTGTTTGCAGGGTATCACATTGGTCCAGGGATGCATTGGTCAAGACAATACAAAGTATGGCCTCTGAGTGAATTCGTACATCAGAATCTTGGTGACGATGCTAGCAAACCTGAACACCGTCTTCTCAAACCTCATTTGACTGAAAAGGTCGAGATGGTCACTCCATTGACATTTCCATGCAAGCAGGAATATGAGAGGGTGAACACCACATTGGAAGGAATGAAAGAAAGAGAAATCCTCGATGGCGATCCCTCCAAAGTGCCTCATGGAGATGACGAAGAACATGACCAAGATGAAGATGATGATGAGCTTGATGACGGAGACGACGGTGGACCTGGACCAAGTGGTGGAAAAGTTTCAAAGAAGCCTCTTGATGACTCCGAGGATATCTTCGACAAAGACAAAGATCCAGAAGAGATGACTCTCCAGGAATTGATCGACGCCCAACCAGACCATTGGAAGAAGGGCAAAGCTGGAGATGACGGAATGGCGGAAGACGAATGTTCAGAACGTCATTGCGTCCCAAAGGGACCTATTCTCCTGAGGAATGGCGCAAACTCTCTCAATCTGACCGGAATACCATCCTCAAAGCCGAGAAGAAGAAGTTGGAGAAGAAAGAGGCCGATGACAAAGCCAAAAGATTGGTCGAAGAAAAGAAGAAGAAGGCAACGAAGAAGGAGAAGAAAGATTCAAAGAAAGACAAGGACGAGCCAAAGTCCAAGGACGATGAGGGTGGTGATGAAAGTAAGAAGGATGACTCTCATTCAAAGTCAAAGAAATCCGATACAGGTGTTGGTGAAGTTGTGGAGAACAAAATTACCTTACCTATCACATGTACAAGTACGTATCTTGATTTGTACGACATAGTCGATGATGACGATGTACATGGAAGACGATACATTGATTGTCGAAAAGTGAAGAGGAATGCTGATGCTAGTCCATGTTCCGATGCTTCTACTGACGTCCCGGACGACGAGGAATATCTCACTGAATGGGATGAGTGGTCGGAGGTCGAGAAAGGGCGTGGCCCAAAAGCATCGTGGAGTGGTGAAGTTTGGAGCACATTGTCAGGTGAGATTTCGAGGTTTTCCATGGCTACGCCAGGAGAGTCGACAATGATCAAAAATGGCAAATGTGTTAACGTCAAGAACGTGAAGAACATAGCCACTGATGATGATGAATACATTCCATTTCCAACTATGCCGTGTACTTCTGCATCAAATCAAAGTCACCGAACCAAGATATCATCAGAAGGTCTTGGAAGCAAACTTTTCAATGCAATGGTTTCACGACCTGTGGGCAGAGCCGAGATTGAGTCTAACCCAAAGGCCAAAGAGGCAATGCTCAAGGAGTGGAAAGGCCTTCGTGATCAAGAGGTATTTGACTTTACAATGGTTCGTGAATACGACGATGTTGTTGCAGAGGCCAAGAAGAACAAAAGGGAAGTACACATGGCCAGGGTCCATGGCATATGCGTGGAAAAGAATTACCAGCTGTCAGAAGACAATCCTGGACGAAAATTCAAGGGAAGAGGCGTTCTGCTAGGAAATCAGGTGAAGAATCAGCATTGGGAGGCAGCATTCTTCCAAGACTTGGGAAATTCCCCTGCTTCCTTTGAAGCCTCACGATGGGCAGATTTTTACGGTTGTCTTCCTGGGCACTCCGTCAAGTTGGCAGATGCGATTCAGGCTTACATCCAGGCTAAGTTGAAGGGACCTTTGTGTTGGGTGGAGTTACCCACTGATGCATGGCCGCCGGAGATACAGTATTGGAAGTTCCGTCGCCCTGTCGTAAGACTCGACAAAGCCCTGTACGGACACCCTGATTCAGGCACGATGTGGGAACAACATTGTGACAAGAAAGTTCAAGAAATTGGTTTTAAGCCCATTGGTGAGGAATGGCCTTCTATGTATTTTCATGATGAGCTCAAATTGCTGTTGGTAATCTATGTGGATGATCTTAAGCTTGCTGGGCCCTCCGAAAATCTGGCCAAAGGTTGGGATATGCTGCGCACTGTTCTGCGCATTGAACCCGAAACCGATCTGGGACTTTACTTAGGATGTGTTTTATCCCAAGGTGAGACCCAATTGCATAATGGTAAGAAAGTCAAGACCATAACTTATAACATGGAAGGATTGTTAAAGTTATCGGTGGAAAAGTATCTTGACATCATTGGTAAGGACACAAAATTGAAAAAGGTATCAACTCCAAGCCTTCCAGAGGAAACGAAAAGCAGCCCGTATCGAGCTCCTTCCGATGGAAAACGCAAAGTTGAGTGTCCTTGGTGTGCACATTCCTTCGATCCAGATATGCCTGCTCTCTCTGAGACTGGCAACTCACGTCCTGCGCAAGACAGTGAGACGCTGAGCCGTGGGAATCTAGCTCCGCATGCAGCTAGTGTGCTGATGAAGCTGCTGTATGCAGCCCGCATTGCGCGGTTTGACCTGTTGAGATCCATCAATGCATTAGCACGTAATGTGACTAAATGGACAAAGGATGATGACGCCCGTCTTCATCACCTAATGTGTTATGTTAATTCCACATTGTCCCTCAAAATGATAGGATGGGTCGGAGACAAAATTGAAGATTTATCATTAGGACTGTTTGCAGATGCGGATTTCGCTGGATGTGCCCAATCCTTGAGATCAACTTCAGGATCGCACTTACAAGTCCAAGGTAAGTTCACAAGATTCCCACTTGCTGGTGGAAGTAAGCGACAAGGGTGTGTTAGTCATTCATACCCCCGAAGCTGAAATTGTGGCTGCAGATACTGCACTTAGGACTCTAGGAATCCCCGCATTAAGTCTGTGGAAAGTCTTAGCCAAAGTTTTTCCTCAACTCCTGTTTCATGACGATAATCAAGGTATGATTGGTGTTGTCAGATCAGGACGGAATCCAACCATGCGTTATTTGGAGCGCACACATGGTATTTCCATTGCCTCCATGCATGAACATTTCCAAAAGGATCATTTTGTACTGATCTATGAAATTACAGCCAAAATGGCAGCCGATATCCATACTAAAGGATTCAAGAATCCCATGGCATGGAAGAAAGCTTGTATGCTAATCAACTTGTTGGAACCTCAGGACTTGCAGAGTAAAGAAGTCTTGGACATGTTGCAGCCAAGCACCGATGTCGATATGACTACTCGACAAGTTTTCCAATCCAAAACTGAGGATATCCCAAACTTCCCATACACGGAAACCCCTATTTTGCCAAAAGAAGTGTATAGGAAGGGTTTGACTAGTAAAGAGAAGCTACAATACTTGCCAGGTATGGATCCCATTTTTGTCGTCAAGCAACCGGTGTTTTATCGTCCTAGGCCACCCGGCCTGATTGTGCCGCCAGATGTATTGAGATCCACATGGGTTCTTCTCAATGGTACCTGGACAAAGGTCGAACACCGTGCATCTCCACCAGAGCAGGCCATCAGATTTGATAAGTGGGTTGAACGAGCGTGTTTTCAGTATCATTCGCCTAACAAGCAGCCGTTAATCCCGGACACTGTTTCACACTCCGTTTCAACGACCTCAACCCACCGGGTGATGTCGTCAAAGCACGTGCATGCCCCGCCTGCCCACTCGAGCTCACTACGTGACTCGTGTGCGTCAACACAACATGACCGTGTACAGCATCTGACCGATTCACCAATGCTGATGTTCTCGGTTGATGCCTTGTTTTTAGATGCACAGACATCACCGTCTCAACACCCGAAATCCATTCACCAGTGCCTTCAGCCAGCCACACGTGTGATCAATACGCTTATGCGCCTTGTTCATGGGGGGAGTGAGGGTGAAGGATGTAGTGAGGGTGAAGGAAAGGGACACCTACAGTCCACTTCAACACCTGGCCTATGTCATACGCATCCGGAATTGGACATCAATGATAACATTCCGTTTGTAAAATCCACCCGAAAATCCCAAGTGTTAGGTAAGAAAAATGAAGACCATTGGCAGTGGGATGGGAAAGAGACATTGATCCGAATTCACAAAACGCCAAGAAGGCAAAACTTTGTACCACAGGATTGCGAAGACTGTCCTTGTGACCCTAGGATCATATGTGATGAGAGGGAAACTGAACAAAAGTTCAAAACCAATACTCGAGTGATCAAAGACATATGGAGATTCAAGGGCGACAATCATGAATCAACGAACAAGTTGAATGAATTTTGGACTGGAAAATCGACATTCAAGGTGCTCGCCAATGCTGAAGTGATCGATGGAGGTAAGAACTGTAAAGTGAGTCAGGGAGTGATCACGCTATGCACCAATTGCAATGACGTGAAAACTATTCCCATCACTGATGTTTTTGTCCCCTATCAATATCACATTGAAGTAGGCAAACATGAGGTTGACCATCCTACAGTGTCGGCAATCCTTTGGAGAGAAAAGAAAAACAGAACTTTGGAATTTCAATTTTCCAAATCACCTTGTGACATGATGACATCAAAGTATGCGAAGTTTTCCCTTGCAATCAATCTGATCGAAGTTCCTCAAGCAGTCCCATGCTTCGTCTTGTTATGTTCGGAAGAGAGAAACTGGTTTACGTTCTTGCAGAACAAAATGAAAGACGAAATGAAGTTTCATGTCGTGCCAATCACTGAAGATGACGACATGCTCTCTCCGTACGGAATCAGTAAAGCAAGGCGATGCCTTCGGACCAAACTTGATTCAATGTTCTTTGCAGGTCCATGTACAGGAGGTTCACCATGGATCCGAATCAACCGATGGGTGAGCGAAGCAACAACACAACTCATCGAAGCAAAGAAGCAGATCTTCTGGGCGATGTGGGAAGTGTTTGCATCAGTGCTAAGTGAGCTTATCAACATGGGATCACCAGCCTTGCTTGAGTTGCCTAGAGGTTGTGACTACTGGAAGGACCGTAGAATGACAGAACTTGTGGAAGGAACCGTATCTCATGAGCACAAATTTGATGGATGCATGTATGGCTTGAAATCACAATTCCAAGAGACTCCCAAACCAATCAAGAAACCATGGAAGATTGTCTCATGGGGGGTGTCGTTTCCGAAGCTTCATAGAAGATGTGATCGCCGTCATGACCATGCAGAGTGTGCCGGTAGGGAAACTCGCATTACTCAAGTTTACACTAAATGGATAGCCAAGATAATCATGAATGGAATCAATGATCATGTAATCAGGAATAGTCCATTTGTGAACGTCAGAGTGATGAAACGTTGGAAGCCGCTTGCATGTGATGAACAACTGAAAGCTGAAATGTCTCGTGATTCCGAGAATGTCCGCAGTCACCCAATCAAGTCGGTGGCAACATCCGTTTGTGCTACTCGAGAGCTCGACGCCATTGACCATTCGTTCGAGCGATCGCTACTGCACTGGTGCTTTTCGAGATTGACATCAACTTCGGTTCTTTCATCGTGGCACTTTTCATTTTCGTGTCTACTGCTTTCTGAATTCGACTCCGACTGGTTGTTACGAGACCTACGGTTCGTACAACTATTTTCGCTGCTCGAACAGTTGTCACGAGACCTACGGTCCGTGCGACTTTATTCTGTACAAAGCGGGATGGCCGAAACACAGGATCTGAACTCAGTAGGGCAATTTTCCGGAAGCCGAATCACCGTTGCATTACGAGTGCTGAAGGGGTTGTCCGAAGGATCCATTGCAGCCAAGACTCCATCACCATTCCGAGACACTAGAGGTTCGAATTTTCGACTGATCTCAGATGAAGACACAGCCAACCAGTGGATTAGG